CTTGGGGGATGAACCAACAGAAAAAGGGAGACCTTTCTCTCTCTCTCTCTCTCTCTCTCTCTCTCACTAACTCTGCCAGTCAAAAATAAATAAATAAATAAATAAATAAAATACATCATTGTATAGCAAGAAAAGCTATTATACTCCTTACTAACTGAAATAAATATGCTCAGCTGCATAGGTGACTCCTGATATAAACTTGGCAATACATGGAAACAAGCTGACAACACAGGCCCACTGTTACCCTAGTACAAAATCAACACACATATATTAACTCATCCAAGACATTAGGAATGCCCCCTCTTTTTAAAAAGATTTTGTTTATTTATTTGAGAGGTAGAGTTACAGACAGTGAAAGGGAGAGAGAAAAAGGTCTTCCCTCCCCCAAATGGTTGCAACGTCTGGAGCTGCACTGATCTGAAGTCAGGAACCAGGAGCTCCCTCCAGGTCACCCATGCGGGTGCAGGGGCCCAAGAACCTGGCCCATCCTCCACTGCCCTCCCAGGCCACAGCAGAGAGCTGCATGGGAAGGGGAACAGCGGGGACTAGAACTGGCACCTGCATGGGATGCCGGCGCTACAGCCGGAGGATTAACCTACTGAGCCACGGCACCGGTCCCAGGAATAGGCCTTTTAAAACAAACTTCTTAACTATTAAACTCTAAAACATTGCTGACTTACCTTCTCCAACTGTGCCCAGTTATCCAACTTGACTTTTAAAGAGGTTCCATTTTCAAAGGATGATAATTGAAGGTCCCAGGGATAATACATACTGAATATTTCTGCAATCAGGAAGCCATTTGAAAAATCTCTGGTCCGTAGCAACGAGGAAATGAAATAAATTGTAGTTAATTATACAGCTTGCATTTTATGGTTAACATCAATCTGATATTCCAAACTGACAGAAAAGGTTCTTGTAAAATCAGTTTTGTTGGATCATTGCTTTGAGGATGTCCTACTGTGGAATTGCATTTTGTCTAAATTATACACATATGAAAAGCTTTTAGTATTTCTTAAAGAACCCAAACTGTTCATTTGTACTGAATGTGCATGTTAACAAGATCCCTAGGTGATTCATGTGCACATTAAAAGTTTCAGGTCCCTCTTTGTAAGGTACACAGAATGCCACAATTGGTAAGCCAGAGACTTTTCCTGCAAAACATTTTGTTTCCTAGTTCATAGGTTTTATATTGTAAATATTGTCTTAATTTTTATGGAATTTAGTTTGCATTTCAAGAAAATCTGCCAGTCACTTTCAGAATGGTAAAGGACAAAATTTTCAAAGATCCTTGCTTACCGTCAAACTAGAGGACATCTCTGGTGGAGATTAATTTTATTCTAATATTAATGCCTAGTGTCCCTGAAGAATGAGCCTTGACTATTTTAATATTTTTGTAGTCACACTGAAGTTTTCTGTACTCACTTAGGTGTGTGGTTTAATGACAGCTCTTCTGAATCAATGAATGAAATGCTTCATGGTATGTTTCTTAAGTCTGGGTCCCTGTTTGTTTTCTTGTGTGTGCGAGTGTGGTGGGTGAGTGGGAGCATTCATCAGAAAACAGAAACCCTGCCAATGCAGGGAACCCAAGGCGCAGGGGCCCGGTGCGCCCACCCAAGCGGCTTGGGACCTGCTTGCTTGAGCACCTTTTGATATTCTTTGGAGAGAAGCTGAGATCCAGGCCTTGGAGCCATCGAAGAACGGAAGGAGACAGACCGGAGCGCTTTGGAGGATGTGGATACACCAGGCACTTCTTGGGCTTCGCTCGATGGGCAGCTGCTGGCTGTGGCAACAGCGACGGTGATTTGGATAAGGCTGCCGCCGGCTGTCTGGAACACTCCTCTTCCTGGCCGGCGGCGGCCATGGCGCTTCCGGGGTTTCTATGGCAACTGCGCCTGCGGTGACGGGGCGGGGCCTGTGGGGCGGGGCCTCCAGGAATGGGGCGGGGCTCAAAGCCCGCGCAGGCGCCGCTGTAGCCTGTGGTAACTGTAGTCCTTAGCGGAATGCGTTAAATGTGAGCGCAGTACAGGGGCTTAAAACTTGGGCGGAGCTTTCCATTTCAGATTTAGTGGACCTCACCACTTAGGGGTTTAGGGCTTGCCCTACCCCAATTCTGTTTCCTGGTTCATAGGTTTTATATTGTAAATATTGTGATTTCTGATTAGCCAAAAACTTATTTTCAGTCAAGCAATTTGGCAAGTGGTGTAGAAGGCTTCAGAGGACTTGGACAGATTGTACTTGGAAAGACAATGTTTTTACACCAAAGCTGTAAGGAAAAAAATCTTAAAACTTGAATGTGCCAACAGAACTTAAACTGCATTAAGTATTGGAGCTGGTGTTGAAACTTAACTGAAAATTGATCACTGTTAAATATAAGAGTGGGAATAAGAGAGGGAAAGGATGTACAATTTGGGACATGCTGAAGCGGACTTGTCCCAAATGGTAGAGTTAGAAACATACCAGCGGATTCCAATTCAATCCCATCAAGGTGGCATGTACCAACGCAATCTCACTAGTACAAGTGATCAATTTCTGTTCACAATTGATCATAATGATAGGATTAAGAGTGAAAGGGGGCCAGCGCCCTGGCTCACTAGGCTAATCCTCCGCCTAGCGGCGCCTGCACACCAGGTTCTAGTCCCGGTCGGGGCGCCGGATTCTGTCCTGGTTGCCCCTCTTCCAGGCCAGCTCTCTGCTATGGCCCGGGAGTGCAGTGGAGGATGGCCCAGGTACTTGGGCCCTGCACCCCATGGGAGACCAGGATAAGTACCTGGCTCCTGCCTTCGGATCAGCGCGATGTGCTGGCCACAGCACACTGGCCGCGGTGGCCATTGGAGGGTGAACCAACAGCAAAGGAAAACCTTTCTCTCTGTCTCTCTCGCTCTCTCACACTGTCCACTCTGCCTGTCAAAAATTAAAAAAAAAAAAAGAGTGAAAGGGATCACACAAACAAAACTAGTGTCTGCTAATACTAACTGATAGAATAAAAAAGGGAGAGAACGATCCAACATGGGAAGCGGGATACACAGCAGACTCATTGAATGGCAGATGTCCTAAACAGCACTCTGGCCTCAGAATCAGCCCTTTAGGCATGCGGATCCGGCTGAAGAGCCCATGAGAGTATTTTAGGCATGGTAAGCCAAGACACCCTGGAAAAAAAAAATGAAGAAGACCTAAATGAAAGATCTCTGCGAGTGAGATCCCAGTGGAAAGAATGGGGCCATCAAAGAAGGAGGTACCTTTCTCTGAAGGGAGGAGAGAACTTCCACTTTGAGTACAACCTTGTCTATGACATATGATCACTTTGAGTACGACCTATGTCTATGACATATGATCAGAATCGGTGAACTCAAAAGGCTTCCATAGCCTTGGCAACTCATGGCAAGAGCCTAGGGTGATTACTGATGCCATAAACAAGAGTGTCAATTTGTTAAGTCAACAACAGGAGTCACTGTGCACTTACTCCTCATGTAGGATCTCTGTCCTTAATGTGCTGTACATTGTGATTTAAGGCTATAACTAGTACTCAAACAGTATTTTTCACTTTATGTTTCTATGTGGGTGCAAACTGTTGAAACTTTTACTTAATATATGCTAAACTGATCTTCTGTATATAAAGAGAATTGAAAATGAATCTTGATGTGAATGGAAGGGGAGAGGGAGCGGGAAAGGGGAGGGTTGTGGGTGGGAGGGAAGTTATGGGTTGGGGGGAAGCCATTGTAATCCATAAGCTGTACTTTGGAAATTTATATTCATTAAATAAAAGTTTTAAAAAAAGAATCAGATTAGGCCATTTTGTGAGGGATAACATTCTCAAAGCCAAAGCAACAAAAGCAAAAACAGACAGGATTATATCTAAAAAAGTGTATGTGTGGCAAAACAAACAACCAAGGCAGTGAAAAAACAACCTACAGAGTAGGAAAAAAATGTTTGCAAAGAATGCATGTGAAAAAGGACTAATGTCCAGAATATGTAAAGAACTTAAAAAAAATGAATAGCAATGAAAGCTCTAATTTTAAAATGAATAAAGAATCTGAATAGAGATTTCTCAAAAGAAATGCAAATGATCAGAAATACATGAAAAATACTCATTATCAATAACTGTCAAGGAAATGCAAGTCAAAGCTACAGTGAGATATCGTGCCATAATCAGTATTATCAAAAAGATAAAAAATAGCACACACTGGCAATGATGTGTAGAAAAAGAACCTTTACATACTGTTTTTGGAATGTAAATTAGTATGCCTACTATGGAGAAAAGCACAGAAATTCCTGCCCAGAGTATTAGTAGATCTACCATATGACCCAGCTGACTGAATGTCTGCATTTGCATGTTCCTTGCAAGACTATCCCTAATAGCCAATATATGGAATCAACATGGTGTCCATCGATAGATGAACAAATAAAGAAAATAGGGAATGCATACAAAATGGATTATTAATCGGCCATAAACACAATAAATATTATCATTTGCATTGAAATGGATGGAACTGGAAGTCACTATGTTACCTGAAATAAACTAGACACAGAAAAAACAAATACTTTATGCTTTCTCTAACACATGGCAGCTAAACAATTCAATATAAATGTAGATTGGTGATTATTAGAGGCTAGGAAGGATGGAAAGCAGGATATTGATAGTATAGAGGTTGGGTGAAGGGCATCAAAGCACAGAGGAAAGGAGTAAGTTCTAGTGTCCCACAGTACGACAGTACCACGATGTACCTATAGTTTACACTAATGTACTTTATGAAGAACTGGAAGAGAGGAGCTGGTGGACTCCAAACAAAGATATGATAAAAAAAATAAGAAATGTTAATTACCTGATTTGATCAGTTCTCATTGTATGCATGTGTTGAAGTACTACACTGTACCCCATTAAAAGTACAAGTGTTATATCTTGCCCAAATTCTGAAAATAAAAAAAACCTTAAATTGTAAAAATAGTTGTTTCTAAAGTGATGTTGAAACTCTGTTGGATGAAGAGAGGAGCGAGTAATTTAGCACAGAATGACTAATGTCAGTGAAGGAAGTCATGGCCATAGGAGAGCTTTCTTAGGAGTTTCAGGAAACAAGTAATAAACGAATAAAGTTACTGAAAATTTTAGCATGAAGGCTAATGCAAGATTTGGGTGGTAGTTGCTAGAGAGGTGTATTAGGTCTATGTATTGTGATTTAATCTTGTAAAGGAGTCAAAATGTTTTCTGTAATAAATATGCCAATTGTTATGTTAATTCCACTCTGTCACAAACACACTCTTCTATATTCTGCTCTGTGACACTGGAGTTGGAACTCTGCAGCCTATTCTCATTTGCTAGGCATTTGGTACATTCTGCCAGGAGGGGGAACTAGAGAGGGAACAGGAGGCCCGAGGAAAGGAAAAGGGATTTGCTATTTCCTATTTGCTTGCTGTTCACTTTGATGTCTCCACAGTGACAAAGCTTCTCCTGGCACTGGTAGATGTTTCCAGCCTCCAGCTGTTTTTAGCACTCCTGGGGCAAGTTTCATCACACTCCTTCACAGAGTTCCCCTCTTTCAAAATCAAGATCCAGATTTTTCTGTGGCACTGCTCCCTTGAGTTCCTGAAGTACCCACATAAGCAGTGTACACTGGCTCCTCAGAAGTCTAAGTCTACTGAGCTTTTCCTCCATATCCTGGGTTCTTATAGCCAGTGTATTCTCTAGGAATACTAACTGCTTCCGGAAACATTTATTTTGTTGTTAATTTGACAGTCTTAATTTAGTTTTTCAATTCGACATCTTTTAAACCAGTTTCTTTTCTTAAATTCTCATTGTTGCCTCTCTTTTCCTGACAGGATGTTGGATGATATGTGAAATGATGTTTTACTCCACTATGAGCTTATCTACATCTTACTAAAGCATCTAAGGAATTTCTTCTTCCTCTTCATCAGGTCATGTCAGCCATATACCAATGCACCGGACTAGTGGAATGTGTGACATGCTAAGACACAAAAATCTCTACCAATCTTGTGACAGAGAGCAGGAAAATCAGTTTGACCTTAGGCAACAACATGAACGTGTACTGTTGATCCTGACAGGAAAAACCAAATTGCCTTTAGTGTTTTTGCAGATATTATAGAAGAGTAAAGCACTTTCTGGATAACAATTGCTACAGAGTGTGATGATTTATTTCAGTATAGACACTTCAAATGAAAAAGGAGATCTAATTGAAGTCACCTCGCCTCATGAGTAAGTTTGCAGTGATTCAGTCATTCTCTAAGATCCATCCAACTTCGGTATAAAGTAAATAGCCAGGAGCTTCTTCCGGGTCTCCCATGTGGGTGCTGGGACACAAGCACTTGGGTCATCTTATGCTGCTTTCCCGGGTCATAAGCAGAGAGCTGGATCAGAAGAGCAGCAGCCAGGACATGAACCATCAGTCATATGGGATGATGATGCAGCAGGTGGAAGCTTAGCCTACTACACTATGGCGCTGGCCCCCAAGATTATAATATGTTTTAAAGATGGAAAAGAATATTCAAAACTTTCAAGAAACTTGAAGGGAATGAGTTTCTACCCCCAGATACATATTTTAAAATGTTAGTCTTCCAGCTTCATGGATAGTATCAAGAAACACAAGACTCCTGGGTCAGAGATAAACGACTTTATAAAATGCAGCAGAGGGAGCAGCATGAGCCACACGTTCATGCCAGTGCTCTTGCCTCCAGGTCTTATGGATGACACTAAGGGGAGCAACCGGAAGCTTTGGACACAGTGAGTTTATGTCAATGCTGAGGAGTCCTAGCTTAGGAATTCCATTTTTTTTATAAATGGATACAAGAAAACCTGCCTAATCCTTGCCCCAGATGGAGACATTACCAAACAAGCTGGTACTTCCCTGTGAGACAGGACACTAAATCTTCTAATGCTGTTAACTATAAAAATATTTTTGAAAAAGATTATCTGGTACAAAAGCTGTCAGCTTCACTGCTATCAAAATGTGTAGAAACACAATAAATCCACAACAGATGGATCTACTCACAGGCAAAAATCAAATAAATGTCTGTTTTCTGATCACCACCATCTATTTTGGCTGCAACATTACACTGTGTTTGTGTTCACCAGTATTTTTGGTTAAGTATCTGTATATATGTTATGTATGTATAATTTCATAATTGTCACCAGACTGTGGATTGTCAGGGCTGGTTATACTAAAGTGCTTGGTTACTTATAAGGAAGAAAAACCCAGGAACCTGTGCTGTGGGTATGTTAAGCCTCTGCCTGCATGGCCGGCATCCCATGCTGAGCACCAATTCGCGTCCTGGCTGCTCCTCTTCTGATCTGGCTCTCTGCTAATGGCCTGGGAAAGCCGCAGAAGATGGTCCAAACGTTTGGGCCCCTGCACTCACATGGAAGACCCAGAAGAAGCTCCTGGCTCATGGCTTTGGATCGGCCCAGCTCTGGCCATTGTGGCCACTTGGGGAGTGAACCAGTGGATGGAAGACCCCTCTTTCTGTAACTCTGCCTCTCAAATAAATAAGTTGTTAAAAAAGAATAAGAAAACTCCAGTTTCAAAGGTTCTTATAAAGTAGAAAACACTTTTAACATTTATACCATCTCATAAAACATTTTTTTAATTATTTATTTATTTATTTGTTTGAAAAGCAGGGATTATTTATACAGAAAGGCAGAGGCAAAGAGAGAGAAAGAGAGGGCTTCAATCCATGGTCCGCACCCCAAATGGCCACAAGGGCCAGAGCTACACTTACCTGAAGCCAGGAGCCAGGAGCTTCTTTCAGGTCTCCCACATGGGTGCAGGGCTCCAAGGACTTGGGCCATCATCTACTGCTTTCCTAGGCCATTAGCAGAGAACTGGATTGAAAGTGGAGCAGCCGGGACTCAAACCAGCACCTATATGGGATGTTGGCACTGCAGGTGGCAGCTTTGCCCACTACGCCACAGTGCCAGCCCCTCATAAAAATCTTTTTGAGTTGAAAGGCATAGCCATAAGAATGCAATAAACTGGGACCTGAAAAACTGGGGCCGGCAGTGTGGTGTACTGGGCAAAGCCACCACCTATGATGCTGACATCCAAAATGGGCGCCAGTTCGTGTCCTGGCTGCTCCACTTTTGACCCAGTTCCGTGCTAATGGCATGGTCGAAGCAGTGGAAGATGGCCAAAGTGGTTGGGTGCCTGTTACTCACATAGGAGACCTGAAAGAAGCTCCTGTGTACCAGCAGATGGAAGATCTCTTTCTCTGTGTGTGTGTGTCTCCCCCTCGCTCTCTGTAACTCTGACTTTCAAATAAATAAATAAATCCTCAAAAAAGACATATGAATTAGAAACGTCACTTAAACAAGCAGAATTATAAATGTAGCAGGAAGGTATCTGCCATTTATATGACTACTTCAATAATGTGTATTATGAAATTGCTATCAACCTCTTAAAGGTGAATATGAGATTTAATGACTTAAAAATTTTGGTATCTCAGATGCTAAATTTAGTTTTGACTAGTTCTGAAGCTAAATAGTGGGGAGCATTGGTTGTTTATCTACTCTCAATGTGATTTACTGTGTCATATTCAGGCCAGAAGCATTTTCCTCAATAGTGCATTAAAGATGTATTTCACAAGTTCTATCTCTGTCTGTGCAGCTGGAACTGCAGATAATGTTCTGTAATGTAATTATAATTACAGCGAATGGGCAAGTCAATTATAATTGATAATAACTAAATGAGCTTTAACCATCACTATACAAATAAAAACTACAAATTTCAGTAAAAACAGATATCTCATTTGCCTCATAAATACACAGACTTCAAATTAAACCTTTCTCACTGTGTTGTAAGTTTGTATGGGGATGAATCAAGCAGCTTGAAAGTGATTGGCAAGGAGAAAGATCTTGAGCTTTTAGTCTAATTTCTGAAGGGCAAAATCAAAAGGAAATTAGTGTATTAGTCAAGACAAATGATCACAGCTACAGCACACAAACTAGAAAATATATCCGCATGGCTTAACACATCAAAGGTTTATTTCTTGCTGATACTTTCTAGTTACTATGGCTCAACCAGAAGGGAAACGTTTCCACATGCAGGGATCTAAGTTGGTACAGATGGCACCGCCTGGGACATGTGGTCTCTGAAGATACTGTGGCAAAGGAAGAGACGCGGAGGATGCACAATGGTTCCTAGGCTGCAAATAACGCATGTCCCTTTTGCTCATGTCTGTCGTATAGTCTCATCCTACCTTCTTGAGCATCCCAGGATAGTGGAGGGGTCCAGGGATATTTAGTGAGCATGAGCACTAGTCATCTCTAGCAGGATTAGAATCTCTTTTTCAAGAAAGGCTAATCCTCTTTGGCGTGCAAATTTTTTGAAGGAAACAGAGGAAAGTATCCTTATACTTTCCCTTTACATGGGACAGGTGTATGTGGGGCAGGGGTGCATGGCTCTAGTTAATGAATGTTGTCAAGGATTTTGTCAAGATTATATTTCTTCCTATGTTTTCCCTTTTCTCTCCTGGTTTGCTAAATTATAATTTTGGTTTTACCTAAATAAAAAGATGAAGCTGTTAAGTTGGAAACATTTCTTGTAGTATGAAGATAATACTTCTACATTCAATTATTATCACAAGTAACAGACTTTAAATATCCCACAGACTTGTAAAGGGGTCCTCATAGTTACCTTTTTTTTAAAGGAAATCTAATATATTAGATTCTCAGGTTCACAGAAAATATTTAATAATTACTGCAATACAATTCTCATCAATTCTAATGTTAAAGTGATATTAATACAAAAAGAACAGATTCAATGTAGTTCATTGATAGAATTCTAAGAATGTAATGATACTTCACTTCTCCTTCCTTCCTTCCTTCTTTCCTTCCTTTCTCTTTTTTAATGTTTGAGGTATGATTTTAATTTACATTATAATTAAAGGCTTAATGCTTCACTAAATAAAGAGTTCAATAAGTAAAAAGTATAAAGAGCATAGTTCAAGCAAGGATGTAGGCAAGAGCTGTAAACCATAATCAGATGAAAAGATGTCCATTTCATTCATATGCAGTAAATTTTAAAATAATCAGACTGTTACAACTATAGTTGTATATCTCTCTATATATAAACAACCACAAGTAAGAGACAAATGTGATATTTTTCTGTTTGGGTCTGGAGTATGTCACTCAGTGTAATGACCTCCAGATGCATCCATTTTCTTGCAAGTGTCAGGATTTCATTCATTTTTGATGGTTGAGTAATATTCTATCTGTATTTTCTTTGCCAGTCATCAATTAATAGATGTCTAGTTTGGCTCCACATCTTAGCTGTTGTGAATTGAGCTGCTGTAAACTGCTGATGCCACAGGTGGAGGCTTAGCCTATTACACCACAGTGCTGGCCCCCAAGATTATAATATGTAACTCTTTCATATGCTGCTGTCGTTACTTGAGGATATATTCACAGGAATGAGAAAGTTGAGTCCCAGATGGAAGATCACTTTAAATTTTCTGAGGAATCTGTCTACTGTATTCCATAATATTTCTATCAATTTACACTCCCACATACAGTGTATCCTTTCCTCTACATCTTCACCAGCACTTACCATATTTTTTTTTTATTTTTGAATGATTGCCACACTGGAGTCCAATAAGGCAATACCTCATTGTGGTTTTTATTTGCTGTTCCCTGATGGCTGGTGATCGTGGGCATCTTTTCATGTGTCTGTTGGCCATTTCTATTTCATTCTTTGAAAAATGCATGTTTACAACCTTTGCCCAATTTTCAACTGGATTTGCTGTTTTATTGTTGTTGAGTTTCTTGAGCACCTTATGTATTCTGGATATTAATTCTCTATTGAGTGCATAGTTTGCTAGTAATTTCTCCCATTATGTTTGTTGCCTCTTCACTTGGATAATTGTTTTCTTTGCTGTCCAGAAGCTTCTTAACTTGCCACGGTCCCACTTGTCTATTTTTGCCCTCATGGACTATGCTTCTTAAGTCTTATTCAAGAAGTCTTTGCCTAGGCCAATGTCTTACAGCATTGCACTTATATTTTCCTCTAGTAATTTGATGATTTCAGGTCTTACATTTAGATCCTTGTGTCTATGTGAGTTGATTTTTGTGTGTAGTATAATGTAGGGTTCTTGTGTAAATCCAGTTTTCCAAACACCATTT